ATATATTTTATATATATATATATATATACATATATCAAAAGTTATATTTAAAAAATCTTTTAACATTCTGATTAGATTGCTTTTTTATTGGCAACCACAATGATTTTCCACAGATGTTCGCCAATAGCCAGTAATATATCTTATGTAATTGTTTTGATGAAATAGAACTAATGTGTGTTATCAGTATTAGTAATAACTGTCCGCGATAATAATAAATGAATCAAATATAATTATTGCATATCGTATTCTAATTGTTGAATTGAATGGTAAAAGTGAGAATATTTCGCATAAAATTTTGGTCAAGATAACAATTGGGAATGTAAGATAAAATAAATACAGCTTCAAGAAAGATACTACAAAAAATAAATTATTTATCGTACGGATGTTTAGATTATTCGTGCACGCGGACAAATTGTCTAAATAAAAGTTTAAAGGAGTAATTATAAAATCACAAACTTGTTGAAAACAAATTAGATAAAAGTTATAACTAATCATGGGAAAAACCATGAAGTTATAATTATAAATTTCAGAAGATTAAAAAAAATTTTCATTAATAATCAACCAGAAAGTATGTTTAATGTGCAATAGTATCTTCAATATACGACAGTAGTTTCCTTGAAGAACAATGTGTCGTATTAAGTCTGCGCACACGAGGCTTTTTTTCTCTTGCAGGATTGTTTACATACTACTGTGTTGGCGATCTTGCTGGCTGCTGTACTAGAAACTGTGTAATCTGCTGGCCACGCTGCTGATTAGTCTGCTGGATTTTCGTGACAAGTCAGATGCTATTTTTCTTGCATTTTGTGCTGGCTCATTATGGAAGTCAAGGAAACAGCCTCAGACCACGTGATCTAAGTATTCTTTTCGCAATAATTAAATACAATGCAATTGTACTTTTACGACAATGTATTACAGTAGCAACGATATGCTCCATGTTTACTTATTTGGATACTTCGGTCAAGCGCCTTCTATCAAACAAATTCCAGCTGCTCAGTCAGCATGAAAACTCGTACCATCTGAATCCAAACTAGCAACACGGCCAGCAGCATTGCCAGCACCGCTGCCAACATGGCAGTAAGCACAAATCCAACTCAGAAGGAAAAAAGCATCATGTACCGTAAGTTTTAAATATGCGAAAAATGTGAACCGCAATTTAAATATTCGATACCCAAGAATGGAGTAACACGAAGATTTCTTAAATATATATTGTTTAAGCGCAATATTCTTGAGAATTTCACAATCAACGATCGTGGCATCCGTCTATCGTCGTTATTACTATTTACAAAGTTTAACATGTCTAAGAGATTAGCGTATTTTGAATACGAGATGTGTTTCTTGGAATGTATTCGCCTGTTATAGTTTTAAAAATTTATTCGCATCACGCTAGAAATCGATAATGCAACGTGCTTTGCATAAATTAAGATAGCAACGTACGACAACATGTCGTTAAAAATAAACGACAAAAACAAAAATGCGAAAAAAAACATGCCACGTCATTGATAAAAGAATTCTACATAGAACGTTTTAAAATGATGAGATCGGTCTCTATGTAAAAAAATGTTTTAATTAACATATAAGCGAAACTCTGCCTAACCATATGCAATAAAAAATATACGATGCGTAACTTGAACATTGAAATAATTGAGTTTCTTTTTAAGAATTAAATAATTTTCACGCTAAAATTCGTAGTAAAAAAATATTAGGTCGGTTAATATCAACCTTAATTATAAAATTTCTCATTTGATCGGTCCTGATTATAAATTTGTCCAGAGAAAAAAGGGGGAAAGAATGATGTAAGGAAGGAGGGAGAGAGGGAGGGAGAGGGGGGAAAGAAAGAAAGTGAAAAAAGAGAAAAATAAGAACATTATAACAGATATTTATGTGTAAAAATCAGTATCATTTATACCGTAAATAATACCATTTTTGGTCTTAATCTCGATATCCTTTTAAACTACAAAGCGATATAATAGTATTTCGGTGTGCGTGTATTTATTTTATACCTCATTGAAGTATTTCTCTCGCTCGGAGAATCTGTAAGTTTCTTGTAACTCTTTATGTACGTAAATCAATTTTCCCGTATAATTAAATTAATAATTATATTATTTTAAATGAAACTCAATTGATTCAACATTTCGTTACGTTTTGTTATATAGCAAATAACAAAAAGATTACGGCCACTTAAGACACTACGATTAATTTACTTATATATAAATGTTCGATATACATGAATGTATGAATCGCATTACATTCTCGTAAATATGTTGTAAAAACCTGTATGTAGTTCTCAATGATATCACTTTGATATCGAGCAATCTAGTCATATAACTCTCCCGAACTCTTTTTTGTTTCGCCTCGACTTTTTTCTATTTCCTTTCTGTTTTGTATCTTTTATCTCTTCTTTATTATCTTCTTTATCTCTTATTTAGTTCTGTTCTTACGGCTGGAAATATAAAATATCTCATATAAAGCACAAAAACTTTTGCATTTATATCTTACAAATCGTGAAAAATTTTACATAACTGCAATAATATTCCATACCATCGATTATTTCTTGTTTCATCTTCTGAAATTCTTTCCGTACTTCTTTAATTATCTCCACCTTAAAGGCCTCCATCTCTTGCGCGGTGAGCGAAGTTCCATCATTAACACCATTTACTTTGAGAAGAGTATCCTCCGAAGCTGAACCGAACCTCTTGCGAACCGATTTCGGTGACTCGGCGCCATTAGAAAACTTATTATTAGACGCATTGTTTTTATCCCAAGATTTCTTGTCTGGCGAACTTTCCGGTTCCTGTAAAAAGAATCGTTTAGTGCTTCTTCTAATTTTCTTTCTCTCTCTCTCTCTCTCTCTCCCTTTCTTTTATTTTTTTCTCATGATTATAATTTATAATTATATTATATTCTATTATACACGTTCTTTTCATCGTAAAAATTTACTCTTACCTAAATTATTCTAATATTTGTATGATTCAAGTTTTTATTGCTTGAGAGGATGCCATCCTCTCTCTCTAGAGCGCGTTATAAATTATAATTTATCTATTTCTCTTTCGCTGATTTTTCGACTCCGATGTTATTTGTCAATTTCTGAATGTTCAAGTTATATTATATGTTATAATAAATGTTTACCGGAGGTTGTTCGGGTTGTTTCTTCTCGGCGGCAGCCCTTCGGCGTGCTAGAGTCTTAGCCATCTCATCCATCATGGAAGCCATTCCGCCGCCTCCACCTCTCCCTAAGGTGCCATAATTGCCGCCTCCTCCACCACTGCTACTACTACTAGTACTCGAGCCGCTGTTCTCCACTGGTTGTGACTGTTGCTATTGATAAAAAAGTTATCCTACTTGTGTGTTTTATACATACAAACATGTTAATTTAATATATTATATATACATATATACACATATATATATATATGTATACGTATATAATTATATACACACACACATATATACATACATACGTACGTACATACATACATACATACATACATATTGTTTCCTCAAACAAGTGACAATTCTATCGAATTAAAAGATTAAAATTAAAAAAAAAAGAAAAGAAAATTACCTGTTTCTTTTTAAGACGTGCTTGAAGAGCAGCTGCTAATGAGTTGGTATCAGGTGGAGGATCATTCGAGGAACTAATAGACGAACCAGTAACAGCGGTGGAATTGTTAGCGTTAGGTACAGGCGGCGGTGGCGGTGGAGGCGGTGCAGCGGGACCAGCCAGTGATACCATCGGAGGCGGCGGAGGACCACTAGCAATAGGAGCATAAGCGTTAGCGCTGACTGTGTGATGTCCACCGGTTGTATACTGATTCACCGAATTTGATGGTGTCCCATACGGATTTGTGGTACCACCCGCTGTGGCAGTTGCTTGTACCTGACCGGTACCACCATACTGTGCTTGTGCCTGGGATACGTATTGCGATTGACCAGGTTGCGCGATCGCGTATTGACTCACCGAACCAGGTGGAGGACCGACAGCATACTGATTTATCGAGCTATTACTTCCATACTGATTACCGCTGCTACCGTATTGCGTAGCCTGACTACCAACTGACTGGTTATATTGGCCTGTATTAACTTGTCCGCCAGTAGTGTAATTACTCGTCTGACTATTAGTACCGTAAAAGTTGTTTTGACTGCCAGATGGTGGAAATTGATTCGGGCTCTGGCCCACGACGGAGGTCGCACCGCTTCCGGTGCCACTGCCACTATTAGGAACAGTGGCACTCGCGTACTGATTGCTTGTAGGCGCAGCACTGTACTGGTTTGCCTGATTAGTAACGTAGATAGATTGGCATTGAGACTGTTGACTTGATTGGGATGATGGCGATTGTGCGTACTGATTCATCATCATCGGTGGTGCCGGCGCCGCGGACGAACTAAAATTCATCATTGTCGGTGGGCACGGTGGAGCGGGAGGTGCAATCGGTGGTTGGGGCGGTGGTACCGGGGGACCGACTCCCGGCCCAGCCGACATTTGCGGAGCCGCTGGAATCGTACTGCCGCCACTTTGTAAGGTTGGTAGTTGCTGTGGAGGCGGTTGTGGCGCCGGCGGTGCCGATGAAGTTCGATGATGACCAGATTGTTGTTGTTGCTGCTGCTGCTGTTGTTGTTGTTGTTGTTGTTGTTGTTGTTGCTGAGCAGCAGGCGGGCAACTCGGTGATATGGGATTGGGACTTCCAGTTGCTGCAAAGAAATTTGATTTCTGAATGTGTGTGTGTGTGTGTGTGTGTGTGTGTGTGTGTGTGTGTGTGTGTGTGTGTGT